CCTTTGAGCCACAGGCACCGCCCTCCAAGAGTCTTATTTTGTCACCCTCAGTAGAGTGCCCTGGCATCATAGGTCACAGCAACCTCAAATTCGTGGGCTCAAGCAACTCTCTTGCCTTATCCTCCTATGTAGCTGAGACTACAGGCACCCACCACACATCTGGCTAGTTTTAGAGACAGGTCTTGCTCTGGCTCAGGCTGGTCTTGAACCTGTGAGCTCAGGCAATCCACCCACCTAGGCCTCCCAGAGTGCTAGGGTTACAGGCATGAGCCACAGCATCTCTCCTTTTTACACAGTTTCTAAAGTTAGTAGTATATGAAAATTTTGAACCATTTCTAGAATATGATAATTTCATGTTTGACAAAATATTTTACAAAATGTGTTACATTTTATTTTTTAAAAAAGCAAAAATGGAGAGTTTAATATACCCCAAGAAAACTCATTTAGAAGCCTTTTTTTTTTTTTGCTGTGTATTGTTGCATAACAGATGCTATTAAACCCATAAAAGAACCAAATAATCTTTGTAACATTATGCTCTGATTTTTGGTTAAAATACAAAATCGGAAAAGAAAATCTATGTGATACAGACACGCAGGGTAAACATGACTGAGCTAATGTTTTGCTTCCTTGACCCTGTAGTCTTGGATCAATGTAAGCTTCAGAGTATCTGATCATTAAGAGCTTACACCTGAGCTTCATAATATTCAAGTTCATTGCTGATAAAGTTTGAGTTGCTTTTATACATAAATTAATTGAGAGAATATGGAAAATAAATGGCAGGTTATTAAAGAGCCCACGAGAAGTAGTCAGAGAGATGAGTTCAGAAAACAATAAATCAAGCACAACCTCAAGTGTCCGTCCCTAAGGACAGGTCACTAATTATTTGTGAAATATTTTATTTATTAAACTTTTATTATTTATTCACTGTGTTTTAGCCGAATTAAATTGGAAGTTAAGACCTTGTGAAGGGAATGTAGTGATAAGTAAGGAATTGACAAGGTATACTTTGATTTTTTCGTTTTTTTCTCAGACAGAGTCTCACTCTGTTTCTCCAGGCTTGAATGCCAGGGCGTCAGCCTAATTCACAGACTCCAGGGTTTAAATAATGCTGCTGTATCAGCATCCTAAGTGGCTGGGACTACAGGTGTCCACCACAACACCTTGCTAATGTTTCTATTTTTTTAATAGAAATGAGGTCTCACTCTTGCTTGGGCTGGGCTCGAACTCCTGAACTCAAGGAATCCTCCTGCCTCTGTCTCCCAGAGTGCTAGGAGGACAGGAGTGGGCCACTGTACCTAGCTGCCTGAGAAAGTTTACCTTGATTCTTGATCTACTGTCGGATGTGTCCTGGAATTACCCCCCTATACTTGTAGCTCTTGAATAGAGCTAAATGCTGTATCAGTCAAAACTTATTATTGCCCATCCGCTCTTTTTGTCAAAGTTGTTTTGGTAAATTCTGGGTTTAGTTCCCTGCCACTTCGTTCTTAAAAAGTAAAATACCAATCCATGCCATTATCATTTGGTCATTTTTACTCCAGTGTAAACAATACATTTTCCGATTTGACATATGTTCCTCCCAACACCAGGCAGAAAAGTTTGGGGTGGGTAGAGGTAAGATAGAAAGTATATAAGAAATAAAAATATGCTTTTGTCTGTTATTAAGTTAAAAATAATTCCTATTAATAAGAATTGTCTATACAAAAAAGTTCTCCCTGGGATCAGGTTTCTAAATGAACTTGATATATTAATGTAATGGGACTTCTGAACATAAAGACATAATAATAATTCATGAAGAATGTTTTAGGGTGATTCATCAGGGGCTGTGAAATCAATGCAAGGGACTGTGATAGACAACTTGTACTGATGTATGAGACATTAGAAGAGAAACGGGCAGCATGCATCACGAAGGAAGAGAATCATTTTAAATAACTCCTGTTTTGGTTGTAGCTGTCTATAAACACACATGATACAGGTCACCATCAGCCGACGTGGTGTGGTGGTGTGGTGGCGAGGCAGAACAGCACACTCAGTTAAACACAATTGCTTCAGCCTCTCTGTAGTTGTTACCTAGCCTGAATCTCAGCCTTCTCCAGCAAGTCTCATAAATGTCACTGCAGCAGGCCCATGAATTTTTCTAACTTCTCTTCAAAGCCCTTCCAAAGCCTAGATAATACAGAGAATCTCCTGTTATGGATAGGAAAAATTAAATAGTTTATCTTGTTTTTAAAGAGGCTATAGTTGCTTGTTCAACCACCTTGAGTGGACAGTTCAGGAAAAGAAAACTAGAGACCAGATGCAGTGGCTCATGCCTGTAATCCTGAGATCACAGGTTGGAAACCAGCCTGAGCAAAAGCAAGACCCCCATGTCTACTAAAATAGAAAAACTGAGGCAAGAAGATTGCTTGAGCCCAAGAGTTTGAGGTTGCTGTGAGCTGTGACGCCACAGCACTCTACCCAGGACAACAGCTTG